TATATATACTGTTATGTTTGGTCACGTTTTCAAAGACACACTGTAAAAGGAACTAAGAGCCACATGTGGCCCCAGAGCCGCAGGTTGCAGACCCCCTGTGTTGGGGGGAAACACTATGATAGAAAACATTCAGGACTTAGTCATTTCGTTTTTGACTTTTTTCTCCTGCAGGTTTGTCTTAAGAGTGGTTACAGTGACGACGAGATCGAAGAGCCTTCAAGACTTTAAACCACTCTCCTCCACTCGCACCCCTCCGCCGCTGATCTTCACCACAAACTCCAACCGAGCGAGAAACTTAGGAAGTCAGTGAATGTCGACCTGTATTTATGAGCTGTATTAAAAGTGTATTATAACTAAAGAAAAAAGTATGAGTTTAAAGATTTTGTACATTTGCACTTGAATTTATGTCTAGATGTATATTTTCACTAAAGGTTGTATTGTACAAAAAGCCATAAAAGTACCACTTGAATGCATACAAAATGTTTTTATTTACTTTTTTTAGTTTTTATTTTAATTTGGAATGGGTATAAATAAGGTGTATTAAAGAGTTTCTTTTAAGAAGCACAGCACCAGTCATCTTTATAATTTTTTTCCATGTTGCATAAAGCTTTTTTTATGATTGTCATTGATTTAGCTAACATGATGTGTTTTACCATCAAACTAACATTTTGTCTCTAAATACCTGAAGGCTCAAGTAATTCCTTAAACACGTAGATTTAAATGTTATGGAAGGAATCTAATCTAGTCAGACTTTACTGTTTATGCTGCTTCAGCTTCCCCCAGATGTTGTCCAGATGTGTTTTTCATGGGGATTTGTCTGATCAAACGTTGCTTTCCCCTGAACTGGACGGTGGGTTCAGTGAACGCTTTTCTTGGTATCGGGTCCGGCCTAGATTAATTTTTTTATTTTTCTCCACACCTGCAACAGTGACGTAAAACACACAAAACAAACACCTGAGAGGCCCTTTGTCTGTCTCACAACTTGTGATGATTATCTCTCATTTCTGAAACTTTAGACACGTCTCCTGAGCTGCAGCAGACATGAAACATGAATTTTAGGATGCTCGACTGTTTCCGATGGAAGCGCAGCTGCTAGACACACGTCTGTTACACTCTTTTCTTTGTTCAGGTGGGATGTTTTTGTGTTTTGGTTTCAATAGTCTGCTTTTACAACCTGTTTTGTCCCAGTGTGGTTTATATGCAGACCGGAAATAGCTCTTTTTGTGGTTTGCTGGCCTAGTTTTTCAGATTTTTCTCTGATTTAATAACTGGAAAATTTAGCTATTTTTTTAAGGAGGGACCCTTTTATAAAGAGTTTAAACATTTACAAAACATTAATAATCATTTATAAACAAGGGAAAAAACTGATTTTTTTTTTTACCTAAATAACTATTTGCCTAAACAAACTGTCTCCAATCACTCCTCCTGCTCATGGAGATAACTTACTGACAAATGTTTGACACTTAAAAATCAATGTTATGAATTCATTAATACAAATTCGGCATTTATTTTGCTAAAAAGTAAGCCTGCTTCACCGTACGAACGTTTTGTCTATAAAATGTCAACTTGCTCATGAAAAATCTATTTTTAAATCATTAAATCCTTTATAAAGGGGTTCTTTTTAGGAAGTTGTACCGAGTTTTAAAAGCAGATGGTTTTGTTAATAAAACAAAGATACAAATTAGAAATGCTTCGAAATCAAATCAGTTTTCACAAATTCAGCTGGCAGCAGTTGAGTCTCGGCACATTTAGGCCAATATAATGATACAGAAGTCTGTTTAAATCGTTTGGCTTTAGTTAAGTTTGTGATAAAAACATTATTGGTAATTGGTTTCAGTAGATTTGTTGGAATGACAGATAAATTGTGACTTGTCCTTTCACAACATTTGTCGTTTCAAGTAAACTAACCATGAACAAACATATTTTTTCTTTCTATACATCATGATTTTACATTTTTCTTTTGAGGCAGTTATTCCATTCAGTACTTGTTTTAGATGCTGTGAATACCTCACATGTTTCATAACAAGCTTTAATCCATCATCAGTTTCAATGGTGATACTTTTGTGCCGTTCAATTTAAAGATTTAAATTAGTTTTTGTTTGGGTTTTAATTTTTCTTCCTTTTTTTTGACAAGAAGACCATGTTTGCTATTTTGTCAGAGCAGAACGATTTTTGGACGTGAAGATTATTTAGCTGAATTCCCATGTTTTCAAAAGTCAGGCTATGGTACGCATATGGTTTCCATTTAAAAACAGGAAAACAGAGAAGTAGGCTGTTCTGAAAGTTTGTCTCCTGTGGCACATTTCATTATCAGAAATCAATGTGTGCATCTAGTTGTTGCTGGCTTGTGTTACTTGGGTTTCTGTATCTTTGTAAAAAAAATCTATATTTTGCTCTCAGGCACATTTTTAAGCAGATTTCACTTAACATGTAGATTTTTTGCCTTTTAGTGCTCTAGCCTCAAAAACCCTTGTAAATGATGTATTTCTATGTAACTAAGCTCTAACACGTACTCACTTGTTCTCACAGGGAACGTATACTGTGTCCACCACCCATTGCCTTCTGTCATTGTTTTTAATGAGCTCTTCTCTTGTACAATCCATACAGCAGTGAAGAAGTCCTGTTTCATTGCACTATGGTGTGTTTTGACAATGACTATGAGAAGTGTCTTTAACTTTTTTTTTATTCTTGCCAATGAAACCAAAAGCATCTCGCTAAATTTAAAACTTTTGTTGACTAAAAGAATCTGCTCAAGAAAGACTGACAAGCCTTTATTCTGTGTGCCAAGTTATTTTCTGACATCCTGCCTTTTGTTTAACTTCCTAAACTGTCCGTCCACTGGTTGAAAGTCCTTCATGTAAAAAAAATAATAATAATAAAAAAGGAAAAAAAAATCTTTAAACAGCTCAACTGTTTTGAATGTTCGCACTAAGTGCATTGTATTGCCTGTTTAAAAAAAACCTCTTTTTATTACTCAAGCATGTATCAGATTGTAATACTTCAGGATCCTTGTATATGTAAAAGATGACCTTCTAGTGCCAACATATCTTACTGGTATTTTGAGGACAACTTTATGAATGACAAGGTGCCCATCTGAGTCGGCCTGGTTCGGACARCAAACATTCCTCTTCTCCGACGTGCTGCTGGTGAGCCGAGCGGGTCGGCCCTCACCGGCAGCGCATAGATATGGAAAATCCTCACTTCCATCATCACTTGAATATAGTTTAGGTTTATAGACGAGTACAGGTTAGGAGGTTCAGAAAAGTTTCATTTCTGTATGATATTTTCAATGAAGGGAAGACAGACGAATTATTGGTATTAATCTAGGCCTAGAACTTTTTCCTTTTCTGGGTTTTTTCTTCCTTTTTTTTTCAAATCTGTACAGTCATGTTGTTCAACCACTGCAGTCATTGTTAATTCTTGTACAAGTTGTATCACTGGTTGTTGTACCATATCTGACATTTGTAATTATGAAATAATACACTGCCATTTGTATTAAAAAAATAAAATTTGTCTTGACTTTTTTTATGGGCTGAACGTGAAACGGCAATATATTATTTTTTATTTTTTTCTCTGTAGTGTTAGCAAAATATCTCATGAACCATCCTCACATGTCTTGTGAAGTTCAACAATTTCACACAATCAATTTTATCAGAACAGCTACAAGTCTGATATCTATATATTAGTCTAAATTACTGCCATCAGTGCCATCTGTCTGCAGTGGGTGATATACATTCCCTCAATAAATGAAAGCTTTTTATTTTTCTGTTATTCTGTTCAACTCTTGACAATTTTTACTTTAATTATGGGTGRAAGTCAAGTTTGATACATGTTTTTCAGCGTTATCATTCAGAGTTCCCAAAGTTATCTTTGTGGCACAAATAAACCTAAAACCAGAGAYGTCAAGTAACTAAGTACAAATACTTTGTTACTTTACTTAAGTAGAAATTTTGGTTATTCATACTTTAGTGTAGTAATTACTTTTCAGCCTACTTTTTACTTCTTACTTCAACTATCTGTACTTTCTACTCCTTACTTTTTAAAAATGCAAAAAGTTTTTAATTTCTTTTTAACTTTGACTTGTTTTTATTCCATCTTTTCATTGTTCAGAAAAAAATATAAATAAATAGAAATCTGCATGGAGCAGGGG